AGAGAAAGAAGAGAATAAAGGCAATGGAGAAAGCAGAGAAAAGGGAAGAAGGAGAAATTTTTAAAAATGAAGACAGCAAAGAAAAAGATTAAAGAATGTAGTATATAAGGCAATCCAATAAGTCAGCATTCATTGAGCACATGCTCATATGTTAGTAGCAAAATGTAAAAACAGTGGCTGTCTTTGAAGAATGCATGACATAGTAGGAAAGAGAATAGAAAAGGGACAACTCATTGCTCAGTAAAAGGATGTACAAAAGACACAAGCAACACAGAACAATATTTAACTCTGGGAATTTTCCCAAGGTCACACTGAGCTGGGTTTTGAAGAACACGAAAGAGAAGAGGAGACCACAAGGAAATAAGGGTGGTGTGTGCAGGCAAATACAAGTTATTTGATATTAGTAGAATTTAGATATAAAGTGTAGAGTGAAGGTCGTGCAAGTAGTAGGTTATCAGGAATACATCATGAGGCTCCTGGTTAAACCAAGTGAAAAAAGTGTTTATCCAGGAATGAAGCATCATTATATTTACATCTTTTTTTTTTTCACCTCGTGATCCACCCTCCTTGGCCTCCCAAAGTGCTGGGATTACAGGCTTGAGCCACCACACACGGCCCAAAAAAACATTGTTTATACAATACTTTTTAATAAAATAGATGTCATTTTTTACTCATGCTTGTTAGAAGAGGGGAAGCTAATGTCTAGAATTTACATCTTTTTATATTGGCAAAGAAATAAATTATATGTTTTCTTTATCTTTTTATTTCTAAAGCCAAGGTTCCAAATGTCCTGAGATAAAAAATTAATAAATATTATTTGTTTCCATGTCAAGAATGAGCCTGGAATGAGGTCCTCAAAAGAAAGTCTAGAAGCAGGAAAAAGAAAGGAATCTGACAAAACGGGAGTTCGTCTTAGCAGTCAGGTGAGCTGATCTCTGCAGCAGAGGTGAGGAAATTAAGGAGCAGAAAGCATAATGGAAAATATTAGGGGGCAGGGAGTTCTGGGAGAGAAGACCAAGCTGTTGAGTATTGTATTAAGGCGTCCCTAATGTTCTCATGAGAAGCTTAAGGAACAACTAGAAGAGGTTGGGCCCTGCCTTCCCCTCCATCCATACCCACGTGTTCACTGAGAATGTGTGGAGCCACAGCAGGCTCCTCTGCTCAGCCTGTGCTGGGAGGAGACTGATCTTTGTTCAAATCAGGGAGGGGAGGGCTGTCTGGCCATTGCATTGACCATTTTCTGCACAATCTTTCAGATGAGGCGTGCAGTCAATCCGAATCACTCGCTGAGATGTTGCCCCTTCCGGGGTCACTCGTCGTGTAGACGCTGCCTTTGTGCAGCTGAGGGAACAGCCCTTGGCCCCTGCCGCACAATACGTATTTATATTCACATGTGCCTGTTGTGGGAGCGGGGCCAGCAGATCACCATGATGAGGGTGAGCAGAGATCACACTACTGATTCTGGAGGGGAACCACAGGCAATCTGGGTGAGGGGAAGGATATGGCAAATAGAAACTCTTTTACTTGCTTCCCCCAAGTCTCCTTCATTTTTGTCTCTCCTGAAAGGAAAGCTTGAGGGTTCCATTCCCTTGAATCAGCTGCCTTAGAGTCTCCCTGCAACCTCAGTAGGGCACCTGCTGCCCTCACCTTTACAGTCTGGTAAAAATGGTGGATATATTGTTTCAGCATCTGTTAGCAGGCTTATCCTTAAGGAAAGAAGTGAAGAAAAGGGAGGAAAAATGATGACGATATTAAGTTCCATATTAGAGGAGTCAAGAGAAAAAATATGTTACCCAGTTTGCATCTTGGTTTTGGATGCTCTTTCAAGAGGACCCCACGTAGATGCTCCAAACAGGAGGACTAGACCAGAACTAGAATAGTACACAAGAGCTCAGGTTGAGTTAAGAGTCATTGAGGCCCGAGAGCTTCTCACTGGGTGCTGCTATTTTCAGCCTGACATGACTATTCTGCAGGCACATGCATAGAAGGAGTGGGTGGTGGGGTTTTACACTCTTGGGTTTCTTCTTTCCATCACAGGAATCACAAGAATTATCACTGCCAAAGACAGACTCTCGAGGGTACGTGGTACGCAGTCAGTGGTCTCGAAGATCCGGGAGCCCATCCACCAGGGCTCCATCAGTAGATGAGCCTAGAAGCAGGAACACCAGTGCTAAGGTAGAGATAAAGATGAATGGGAGGAGTAGATGATAGAATAATAGTAATGTGCCAGTCCCTGTTTGTGTGCTTTACATGTGTTAGCTAATTAAGCCCTCGTGAGAACTCCCTTCCCCCACAAAAAAAATCCCATTTTACCACAGAAAACTGAAGTACAGAGTAAACTTGTTTAAGGTTTCACATTAAAAAGTGGTAGAGCTAGCATTAAAACCCAGGGGCTCTAGATCTAGAGGCAGTACACTTCTGGCATCCTTCCTTCCTTCAACACCTCTTGAGTAACAATCAACAAATAGTTGTTGATTCTCAGAAAAGGGAAGGAAATGGTCACCACAAGAGAAAAATTAAATAGTGTTAGATTGTGTGGAGGTTTGGGTCTTTAATTCAGCCTGACGACATAAGCAATTAAAAAGAAAAAGTAAGTTTGGAGATTAAGATGTTGGAAGCAGAGAGAATGAACCAGACACAGTCACTGAGAGAACATGCATTCCTACCCAATCCATCATCTTTATGGGATTTAACTCAATGATCTAAACAAAAACATCCTTTTCTGAGCCATGTGCGAAACAATCTGAAATAATATATGGATGCCTAATAACTTCTTGCTCACCTTAGTAAAGGAGGTTTTTTTTCCTCTAGAATGGTCCTTTCCTGTTTAGGAAGATGATTCTATGTAACTGTGCTCCACTGGCCTGAGGAGCTCTGAAGGCCCTGGGGAGATGCACCAGTCTCCAGCCAAGGGAACTTCCCAGCTCTCAGTGCATCATTCTCATGGGGATTCGGGAGCGACATGCCCCGAGGTGCTATGTAGAGTGTTCTGGTAGGAATGTCTGGCCCACTTTGCTCATGGAGTTAACTGGAGGTTGCACAACAAGGCACTGGCCAAGCAAGATCCATTCGCAAGCCCTCTGTCCTACCTGCAGGCCTCTGACTGAGCAGGTACATTGCAAGCAGGGGACAGGACTTTGCAAACCATGTGTCAGCTGCCTAAGAGGGAGGAGGAGGACTGGGTCCTATCTACTCAAAACAAATAACAATGTTATGAAGTGCTGATGGGGAAGCTAGGGGAGAATGAAAGCAGACCGTTTCTGTGTCTGTTTAACAGAAATATGAAACAGCTGAGGCCTAGAAATGCCGGGGTCCCTTAAGCCCTACTTAAGGAGCTGAGATGAACCAGCATCCATCTGAGGTCTAGCAACGGAATAGGCAGAAGGGAAAGATCTTGATGGGAGCTGGCAGAGCTGGCGAGAGGGACCCGGGGCAGGCTTCAACTTCAGACGCCCATTGTCTTGCTGCAGCTCCCCAGCAGCTCTGCGAGCTCTCGGACCCCATCCACCTCCCCCAGCCTGCAAGACTCCTCGCCGCCGCCGTCCGGGCAGCCCTCGTTCCAGCCACCCGCCTCGCCCCAGCTCCCTGCGTCGCCCCAGCCACCCAGGTCACTGGACTCGCGGCCTCCCACACCCCCAGAGCCAGATCCTGGCTCCCGGCGCAACACCAAAATGCAAGAGAATCCGGAGGCCTGGGCGCAAGGCATGCGAGAAATCCGCCAGTCCCGGGACTCGCAGCCGCGGGAATACCAGCGCGCGTCCAGCCAGCGCAGGGTGCTCTACCCAGCCTCCGGCCAGCTGGACCGCGACTGTCTGTCTGAGCAGCAGCAGCAGGACGATGAGGACGACTACGATGCTGCCTACTGGGCATCCGTGAGGTCGTTCTATGAGAAGAACCCGAGCTGCTCGCGCCCCCGGCCGGTGAGCAGGCCTGCAGCCTCTGGCACCCGGGAAGCCCCTCCCCGCAGCCCGCAAAAGAGCCTCTTCCAGGCGCCCTCCTCTCCACTGCGCAGGGAGGTCCTCCCCGGTCTCCCACTTCTCCTCCCCAAACGTCTGGGAGTCCCATTCTTGGCTATCTCCAGCATCCCACTTCTCCGAGCTGGGGCCTGCTGTCCTATTCCCACCCTACCCTGGAGGAGCCCCAACCTGTCCCCGTCCTGTCTACGTGACTGTGTCCTCCCGTTGGTGTCCCTCTCTGCAGCCCAAACCCAAGAACGCCATCACCGTTGCTGTCTCATCCTGCGCGCTCTTCAACATGGTGGACGGCAGGAAAGTCTACGAGGAAGAGGGTCTGGAAAAGTACATGGAGTATCAGCTCACCAATGAGAACGTCATCCTGACCCCAGGCCCCGCGTTCCGCTTTGTCAAGGTACTCTGAAAGCTGTCTTTGGCCCGCCAGACCCTCAATGGTGAGGGAAGGACCCAGGCCAACCCTTGGGAGTGCATCCAGTTTCCTCGATCATTCCTAGCCCATCCTTGTCATTCTTGTCTCCTTCCAGCTGACCCAGGTCAGTTTGATTTCGCACAGGCTTCCAGGCTGTGGAGGAAGGGACTCCAGCCCACAGCCCTAGATTTGGGATGTTAGCATTCTCTAAGTGAAGTCCTAATCATGAGACCAATAACAGAAGCCTTTGCTCTCTCCCTCGAAGGAGTGCTAAGAAACCCTGAGTTTATAATCCTGAATAGTAGAAATAAAATGCCGTATTACAGTGAGGTGAAATTCACTTTGGTTGTTCTGGCCCCAAACGTAGCATATTAAGAAAATAAAGATGCTCTTGGCACTTAGGGGTGTGATTTCAATAGAGAAGGTAAGGTTCTCTGAACTTACACTGAAATACATAGCACTTACAACTTTGATCTTCTTAATACAAATATTACACAATAATATCATAACCATGAAAAAACAAATGACACCTCTACAAGCTGTTGGTAGAATTACTTAAGAGACAGTAAATGGATGGACAGGAACCACAAACCTAAAGATACATGTTAATACACAAAGTGCTCTCTTTGACAGCATATATACTAAAACTGGAACAAAACAGAAATGATTTGCATGACCTCTGGACAAGGATGACATGCATATTCACGAAGCAGTCCATATTTTTCAAAATTAAAAAATAATCATTAGATGATTGGTAAAAGCAAATTTTAAAAATCAAACATAAAGCACAAAAGCGTTAGCCTGACCCTGCTCTCTACCTGTCCCCCAGAGATAATTCAAGTGAATCCAAGTTGTAAAAATTTTCAACAAACATTACTCATGTATGTGAACATTCACTGAGTTCCTATGTATGAGAGGCTGATAACACAGAAATGCATGGAATAACTCTGTCCTAAAGGAGGCAGAATCTCTCAATGAAGATTCTTCAGAACCTGAATTTGACCCTGATGAGATGCTTCCTCTCTGGCCTCCCCAAACCCACCTTGCCTGCCCCTCTTTACATACATTCATGTTTGTAACCTACAGGCACTACAGTATGTCAATGCTAGACTCCGTGATCTATATCCCGATGAACAGGACTTATTTGATATTGTACTGATGACTAATAACCATGCCCAAGTGGGAGTGCGGCTTATAAACAGCGTCAATCACTATGGTAAGTAAAATAAATACCATGTGGAAGACCAGCTCTCCGCTCTGAAAGAGAGAAGCCATGTTATTTTGCTAACTGTGGCTTAACCAAATGCGGTGTATTTGATACTGACACCCCCTTCTGTGGCAGGAATGTTTATTTGCCTATGTCAGAACAAGAGAGGCCATGTTCATTTTTAACTTCAGCACAGAGTTGGGCTCAAAGCTCTGGACTTAACTTGTCAAGTGTGAATTTCAAAGTCTTAATCCTAGGTCCTGCAATATATTTCTCTGTTTTATGTTTTTCACTTCTGAACTTGACTTCAAGGAGCCGTCAACCCAAAGGCTTTTACTGTGTGATCAAACTTCTTGCTCACCACAGATTCGTGTTAAAGGTTTAAAGGTTTTCACCTCTCCTTTCCACTCTTAAAATCTGATTGTCCCCGGCTGCTCTCTCTCCCCACACATAAAATCATTTACATGGAAAATCTGATTGACTCTAGTCTTTCCAGTGTTTCTATCAGTCTGCTGGGACTTTAAGAGAAAGTTCCAGCTTTTCCTATTATGGAACTACCTGAATTATTTCATGCACAATTAGCCTATTTTCTAAATGGGTATGTGAAGTTAAAATAAGGTTTAAATTGGGCATATTTGCAAATAATCAAGATATAAGTTATGAGTTTTACTTTATGTTATTCTAACTATAAGGCTGAAATCATTGAAACACTTTTAAAAAAGGTTTGCCTTTTAAAAGTACAGTCTTCATAGGGTTATGAAGTAAAAAGAGAATAGAAATAAATATTTAATATAGATGACTGGCATATAGCAATCACCTAGTAAACAACAGCTAGTATTTAGCAACACATAGTCTTAATTGATTTAGTAGGTGATCGAGGTCTATCTACCCCTCACCATGCTGACCCATCAAGTCTGGAAGCATAAGAAATCATAGTTATTTACCTGTTAATTCTATTGATGAACTGATTGTGTACAACCTCCTCATGCAGCCTTGTTCATGGAATAAAAATCTTTTGGCCCAGAAGAGTTAGTTATTTCCTTCTCTGGGTACTGAAAGCAATTCATATCTCCGTCTCCTGGGGTCTTTATTATAAAAAATGTTTTACATGCCTGGCTCTTCAGTGAACTGTGATCTCCTTAAGAAAAGGGATGATGCTTTAATCACTTATGGAGTCTTGGTGTCACCAAATAATTTCTGGATCATGAGATGCATATGATTTAAGGATTTGTAGAGTAGACTTTTGGGCCACATATGCCCAATATTGGCATAAGTGAAAAAGTGACAGCATTTTCAAATACCAAAGCATTTTTCCACCAAGACAGTTAATGGACCTAACCTACTCTCTTGGTCCATACAGATGATAAACAACTAACTAGATACAGTATTCTGCTTTACATCATGTACAGCTACCCAGTTTACCATGTATCTTAAAAAAAAAAAAAAAAAAAAAAAAAAACTTTGAATTGGTACATGTTTTATCATATGCATAATCCTATAATTTATATAACTACTGTCACATTGTTGAACATGTTTTGCTTTTATAAATAACCCTAAACTGAGACCTTTCTATAGAAATCTTTATCAGAATTTCAGAATATTTCTTTTTTTAAAAATAAAGGAATCTTAGGTCAAAGGTACAGACCTGTTAAAAAGCTCTTGATACATACTGCATGTCATCAAAGCATTTTCTAGACAGCTTGTACCAATGTATATTTTCACACATAGAAGATGAGGGTCCCTGTTTTACAACCCTCTCACAAACACCCAGTGTGTTTTTGTAATTGTTACTGATTTGTAAAAGCATTTGTTATATTAATGTTTAATGATAATAATTCATTGTTTTATGGCTAAATTGCATGTCATGCAGATTTGGTGTGCAGATTTCTACATTACTGAGGTCATAAGCATATTATCAATAGGCAGTTTTTCAGTCCTCATCCTCCTCCCACCATCCACCCTCAAGTAGGCCTTGATGTCTATTGCTCCCTTCTTTGTGTCCATGTGTATTTAATGTTTAGCTCCCACTTATAAATGAGAACATGTGGTTTTCTGTTCCTACATTAATTCACCTAAGATAATGGCCTCCAGCTCCATCCATGTTGCTGCAAAAAAAAAAAAAAAAAAAAAAAAAATCCCTTTCTTTTTTATGGTTGTAGAGTGTTCCATGGTATATATGTACTACATTTTGTTTATCCAGTACATCATCAGTGGGCATTTAGGTTGATTACATGTCTTTGCTATTGTGAATGGTCCTGCGATGAACATACGTGTGCATATATTCTTATGGTAGAACAATTTATATTCCTTTGGATATATACCCAGCAATGGGATTGGTAGTTTTGCTGAAAATTCTCTGAAATCTGCAAACTGCTTTCCACAGCAGCTAAACTATTTTACACCCTCAACAGCAACATATCAGTATTCCTTTTTAACCACAACCTCACCATCATCTGTTATTTTTTTACTTTTTAACAATAGCCATTATGATAGTTATGCAATGATAATCTCATTATGGTTTTGATTTGATTTTCTCTAATGATTAGTTATGTTGAGCATTTTTTCATATGCTTGTTAGCCGCATGTGTGTCTTCTTTTGAGAAGTGTCTATTCATGTCCTTTGCCCAATTTTTAATGACGTTTTTTCTGCTTGTTAATCTGTTTAAATATCTCACAAATTCTGGATATTACACCTTTGTTAAATGCATAGTTTGCAAATATTTTCCTCCATTCTACAGGCTGTCTGTTTACTCGGTTGATAGTTTCTTTTGCTATGCAGAAGCTCTATAGTTTAATTAGGTCCCATGTGTCGATTTTTTCTTGTTGTTGCAATTGCTTTTGGTGTTTTCATCATGAAATCTTCCCCAGAGCCTGTCCAGAATGGTGTTTCCTAGGTTTTCCTCTAGGGCTTGGGTTTGTGTTTCACATTTAAGTCTTTAATCCATCCTGAGTTAATTTTTGTATCTCGTAAAAGGAAGGGGGTCCCATTTCAATATTCTGCATATAGCTAGCCAGTTATCCCAGCCCCATTTATTGAATACAAAGTCCTTTCCCCATTGCATGTTTTTCTTGACTTTGTTGAAGATCAGATGGTTGTAGGTGTGTGGCTTTATTTACGAGTTTTCTAACCTGTTCCATTGGTCTATGTGTCTGTTTTTGTAATGGTACCATGATGTTTTAGTATCTTTATAGTATAGTTTGAGGTTGGGTAATGGAATGCCTCCAGCTTTGTTCTTTTTGCTAAGGTTTGCTTTGGCTATTTGAGCTCTTTTTTGATTCCAAGTGAATTTCCAAGGAGTTTTTTCTAATTCTGTGAAAAATGTCATTGGTAGTTTGATAGGAATACCATTGAATCTGTAAATTGCTTTGGGCAGTATGGCCATTTTAATGATATTGTTTCTTCCTATTCATGATCATGGGATGTTTCTCCATTTGTATGTCTTGTATTTGATTTCTTTCAGCAGTGCTTTTAATCCTTGTAAAGACTTTTCAAATCCATGGATAGCTGTATTTCTAAGTATTTTATTTTTGAGTGTGGTGATTACTAACAAGATTGTATTCATGATTTGGCATTTACCTTCAACATTTTTGGTATATAGAAATGCTACTGATTTTGTACATTAGTTTTTGTACCCTGAAACTGCTCAAGTTATTTATGGGATCTAGGAACTTTGGGGGATAAACTATGGCATTTTATAGGTGAAAAATCATATCATCTGCCAAGAGAGACAGCTTTATTTCCTCTCTATTTGAATGCCTTTTTTCATTCTCTTGCCTGATTGCTCTGGCTAGGACTTAAAGTAGTATGTTGAATACAGATGGTAAGAGTGAGCATGCTTGTCTCATTCCAATTCTTCTAGTTTTTGCCCATTCAGTATGATGTTAGCTCTGGGTTTGTCATAGATAGTTCGTATTATTTTGAAGCATGTTTCTTCAATGCTGAGTTTTTTGCGGGGTGGGGTTTAACATAAAAGGACGTTGAATTTTATTGACAGCCTTTTTTGCATCTATTGAGATTATCATGTAGTTTTTATTTTTAGTTCTGTTTCTTTGATGAATCATATTTATTGATTTCTGTATGCTGAAGCAACTATGCATCCTAGGAATAAAGCCTACTTTGTCATGGTAGATAAGCTTTTTGATGTGCTGCTGGATAGTATTTTGTTGAGGATTCTTGCATCTGTGTTAATCAGAGATATTGGTCTGCAGTTTTCTTTTTACTTTGTGTCTCTGCCAGGTTTTGGTATCAGAGTTATGTTGACCTCATAAAATGACTTAGGGAGAAGTCGCTCCTCCATAATTTTTCATACTAGTTTCAGGAGGATTCAAACCAGTTATTCTAATACATCTGGTAGAATTTGGCTGAGGATCCATCTGGTCCAGGGCTGTTAGTGGTTGATAGGCTTTTTATTAATGAATCAATTTAGAAATGTGTTATTGGTCAGTTTAGGGTTTCAGTTTCTTCCTGGTTCAATCTTGGGAGACTGTGTATTTCCAGGAATTTATCTATTTCTTCT